GATATCCACCCCCCCCCTCCACCCCGTTTCTATAATTTTTCTATTTAAACACGCAGCTCTGACCGGCTCTAGGATAAACTCAGTTACTGGCTTTGAGTCAGAAGTGTCTGGAAGCCTTAATGAAAACCAAGTGTAAGGCGAGTCTCAGCCACCTGTCCCCGGGATCCCCAGCCAAGCGCTCCGGGCTCCCGCTAATCTACGGGCCTGCCTCTTGGAAAGGGTCTCTTGCATGCTGGACCCCTACCCTGGGCGGTGGCAGCGTGGAGCTGGGCACCTGGAAACCCGCTGGTAATTTCTGTAAGCCAGATAGCAAAGCCGTGCTGGCGTTGCCGGCAATTCTGCGTTTCCAAAGCTGCCACAAAAGCCGTTGCAAGAAGAAAAAGGGGTAGGAAAGAAGCTTTTTATGTTGCAGGTCTGCAGTCCTGCCCCTTCTCCCCAGGAGCAGCCCCTCTCCCAGCTCCCTACTTCCCAAAGATACTGTCTAGTTACTTTGCAAGGGAAGTTAGCTTAGGGGAGAATTTTGTTTTCTTTTTCTTACAGACATGAGCTGCTTTGGTTGCCTGGAAGCATGATTTCCTGAAACCTGCTCCTTTCTGGCTCTTGCAGTGAGGTTCACAATAAAATGTATTGTGGTTTTGAGCTGGGCTTTATTTAAGAAAATGCCATTCTGGGTTACTCTCTTTCATGAGGCAGATGAAGAAAGAGATGAAAGGCTGACACTTGGGATACCTCATTTCTGCTCTTTAATTGTGGGCGGTTTCCGGTTCTTCTAGAATGGGCTTCTTCCCTGGGAATTGGTGGGAATTAGAGTGGAATAAATGAAAAGAAAAGAAAAAAATAATGGCTGTTAATTGTGTTTTTTTGTTTATGAGGCCATTAATCTCATTCTTCTAAGAGCAATTCTGTAGATGGGGATATTTAAATGCACTGCTTTTATAGATCCGGGGATACTTCTTCTTACTCGCTGCGTCTCGTGCAACGCTTGCTTCTGTGTAAGCCACGCTCTTTCAAGGCAGGCTTGGAGCCTCAGCTTGCACTGGTGGTATCAGGTGCAGCCACTGGGAACCAGTGTAAAGTTGTGCTTTGGAAGATAGCAACAGAGATGGGGTGTGCACCTGTACTGTGTTAATGCTTCCACTAATTAAATGTAACTTCAGGATCAAGCCCTTGCACTCACTGGTGGTTGGTGTCGCTTAGCTGACCGGGAATGCTGAAGAAGACACGTGCGGTGTGACCCAGGCTGCAAAGCAGCCCCTGCTCTCGACGGGCGCTGGGGCTGGAGGGGAGTTTTGCTTAGCGTGGTGTTTCATTGTTTTTTAGGATGAAGATACCTAAGTGGAGGTGGAGCAGCATCTCCATCAGTGTGCGATCCCAGCTGAAAGGCACCCTGGCCCTTCTCCTCGTGGGCAACGTTGTCTTTGTGATAGCTCAGGTAAGCGTGTTGCGTTGCTGGGAGGTCTCTGGGCTTTAAAATGGCACAGTGTTGGCACAGGGAGGGCCTCGGGGGTGGGCAACCCCTGGGACTTGCAGGACTGGTCCGTGCATGTGTCGGGTCTCCAGCAAGTGCGAGGATGTATGACTTGGCTTAGCTCCTTAGTCTGGGCTTAACCTGAGTTGTAGCATGCATGAGTAAGAGCGTGCACGGATTGCTTCCAAGGCTCTGAAAGGCCATGCCCTGCTCTTGGGTGAGCACTGTTTCCTTGATGCTCCGTGGTTGGAGCTTTCATTTATTTTGCATGGAACAGTATTCTCCCTTTCCCAGTAAACACAGAATTAATAGAAACCCCGTAACAGGTGATTCTGGATGGGAAAATACATCCCTCTCCCCAGCTATGAGCAATAGCCGGGACCCCCCAGGAGGTTCTGTGCCCTTGCGAAGGGATACGAATGCCTCGCGGAGCGCAGGCTTGCGGTGATGACGCTGCCGGTGGAGCAGCTCCTTTGCGCTCTGCATGGTCACGCTGCTGCCTGCAGTGGCTGAGGGGTGGGAGATGGGGGTGTTAAGGACCCTCCTGAAGTGACAAACCCAGTGGCATTTGCAAAGGGAGCACATGAGCTCCTCCAGCCTGGTAGCATCCACTGGCGTGTTCTCCCACTGCAGAGGGGTTTCGCAAGGGTTTGCTTAAGCTTTCAGTGAAGCTTTGGGCTGCAACGAGCTCTTCAGCTCCCTGAATTCACTATGGAGCAAGAGTCAGAGATGACCAAAAGCCTTTGATGATTTACGGTTGTTTGGGAGCTCAGTTTTGCCAACTGAGTGAAACAATGACTTGTTTCCTTTCCCAAGGAATCCTGAATATTGCCATTTCATTCCAATATGTAATGAAAACACAATCGGAAAAATGCAGGGTTTCTTGCAAGATGGGGAATCTCAGACTTGACCTTAGGTGGAGAAGGAAATGCCCTGTTCGGTCAGGGCAGGTGGGGCGGGGGATGCTCTCAGTCCACGCCAGGCTCTGCGGTGCGGATGCTGACTGCTGCTTCCCTCCCCAACCTGCCTGGCGCTTCCAGCAGGACCTGACGCAGACCTCCAACAGCCTGGAGGAAGGGGCAGACGTCACCGCGTACTGGTGGGGCGAGTGGACCAAGTGGACGGCGTGCACCAGGACCTGCGGGGGAGGCGTCAAGTCCCAGGAGAGGCACTGCCTGCGGCAGAGGTACGGCACCCGCCTGCCAGGGTGTGGGGGGCTCCAGCTTGCTGGAGGTAGCCTTGACTTGACCCAGAAGGTCATCACTTGGTAGATTAGTGCCGGTGAAAAGGTGTTGTCTGGCAAACCCTGTTTGCGTGGAAGGTAAGTGTGGCCTAAGCATGCTGCTGTGAGGATGCCGTGCCCTGGGCATTCCCGCTGGGAGGAGCGGCCAAGGTATTCCTGTGCTGGCCCTGAGGTTTCTCCTGCAGGGTTAGTGTGGATGGGTTGCAGATGTAGCATAAGCCCGTGGTCAGGGCTTCTGGGCCCAGCAGCGAGGACACCGTGGTGCAGGGTTGGCTGGGGACTCGTTGATCGCGGCTGCTCTGTGCATGGCTCTGCCCTCTCCGGACTGTGTGGCTGCCAGAAGGCACCTTGCAAACCTTGTCCCCATGATACCTCCTAGGATGCTGTAATAAAAATAGGTCATGCTGCAGGTAACAAAGCCAGAGAGACCTTTGCTATCAACTCCAGTGGGACCGGGAGAGATCTCATCTCGATGTGGCTCTGCTACATGGAGGCAGATCTTACAAAAGCAGGGGACAAATATAGTTAAAAAGGGGAAACGGAGGGTTTGGCCCCTGTCTAACCATCATTTCTTTATTCAGAAGAAAGTCAGTGAGTGGGCTGGCTAATAAAACTTGCACTGGAACATCCAAAAGATACCAGCTCTGCAAAGTACAAGTAAGGATATCCTTTTTCTCATTGGGAACACTTGATACAAAATGTGGGAAGTCGTGCTTGCTTTGTGCAATGGCATTTCTGGGCCCCTTGGAGAGGGGACACCATTTGTCCTGTAGCTGTCACCCTGCTGCCCCTCTGAGCAACTGGAGTTCCCTCCTTTGGTGCCCATCACCATTGTGTTGAGGCTTTGGGCCTTTTGCCTGTGCTGGGGGCCATAAAACCCAGCGGGTGGCTTGTGCACCATCTCCTGGGGGGTTTCCTTGGCTGTCCCTGCACTGGGAGGAGGAGGATGTGGCTCCGGCCAGGGCAGGCGATGGAAACGCTCTTTGCAGCCTGTCGAGATGTGCCAGAAGCCTTTCCTGTACTTTGTTTTCATCAGGCTATTAATGTATCCCATTCTAGGAGTGCCCTGCAAACGGAAGGAGCTTTCGAGAGGAGCAGTGTTCATCATTTAATTCCCACGTGTATAACGGCAGAACGTATCAATGGAAACCTTTATATCCTGGTAACAAGACATTCTTTGTGTGTTTCATAATGCTTAGCCAAAATATTTTGATAGTTATGATGCTAGAGCCTGCAGGAAGGCTCCTCCTCTGCTGTTTTAAAGTGATTTTTCAGAGACACAATCAGCTGTCTCCTAAGTTCAAAGGCACCTTTTGCAGCTGCAGGGTAGCTTAAAAATAAAATAACATGAACTTATGGCTGTAGCCTGTGTTGGTCACAGCTCCCGAGGACTGGAGAGCTGAAAGGCTGGAGGAGGATGCGAGAGCGTGGGGTGATGGACTGTTCTGGCAGGGAGAGTCCGGCTCACCCAAACAAGTGCCCTGTGAGCTGAGGCCATTACTGGCCGCCTTGCATGTCGGTGACATTTGCACACTCCTACACCCTTCGTGTGTCCTGTCAAATGTCGCCGAGATGCAGTTAGTCAGTTTGGTCACCTGGGGTGAGCGCCACAGAACTGCAGAAATAACTTAGGAGTCAGACTGAGATTTTATTTAGAGACTGAGATTTTATTTAATTTTTAGGCACCTAACTCCCATCAAAATCAAGCATTAAACAAAAATCACAGCCAATTTTTAGAGCTCCTGAGGAGGAGGCTCCTGAGTGCTGGTTCTTCAGCACCACAGTGCCATTGGGTGTCTAAAAAATAGAGATGGGTTCTAATGCAATATTCTTATAATTTGGGGGTCTCTGTACATACCTAAGAGTGATTATGCTTCATGAAATTACTACTTTCACACAGAAGGAGGCAACAAGCCCCTGTCTCACCAGCCTTCTCGATGGGCTCGGCATGGTAGAACTTGCACGTGGCAGGCTGGTTAGCTGTAGCTACTTGGCTGCTTTTGTCCCTTTCCTATGGCAAGGTGACAATTTCTTTGAACATATTTGCTCTTCAAGATGACTCACCAGAATAGTTACAGTGAATTGTTTTGTTTTTTAGCAGGCGTTCACGTGGCTCCTGGGGGATTTGCAGAATAATGTTTTGACATTGATGCTGTCTTGCTTGGGCGTGCAGGCCAGTGGGTATATGACCGCTCGCTAGTTGGCGGAGTTCAACACTTAGCGTTGGGTTTCTGATGCAAATATGAATTTGTCATTTTATTCCTGTGGATATTATGAAATGTGGGACTGCCGTGCCAGTGGATGTAGCCAGCCAGTTGCCTGCAGGAAGCAAAGGGTGAATTAAGTCCAACTTGGGTGGATGTTTATGGAAAAGTTCTTATGTTTTAAGCTGCTGTGACTTTGAATATAGTCTTACTTGTATTATTAAGTATTTATAACAATACATCTATGTTAATTTAACTTGTGTCTTAAACGTAGACGTGTGAACACGCGTATGTTTTTTTGTGTAATGTGTATATATAAGCACTACTGCAAGTCCTTGCACAGAGTACCGGCTGTTAGCGCTTCGGTGCGTCCCCTGGGCCGATGTCAGCGATACGGCTAGCATCGCTAGCTGCATCTCTTCCTGGCAGCAGGGAGGACTGCCTGGCTGTGCAAAGGTTTGCAGCAGTGGGCTGTCACGCTCTCAGAAGTGCAATCTCCTGTCCAGCCTGAAACACAAGAGGTGGTAGCTTCTGAACTGCTGGCTGCTGTGCAATTGTGCTGTTGCTGCTGTTGTTTAGCTTGGCAGAGACTGACATTGGTAGGATGAAAGTTGTTGTGTTTGTTCTGTTTTGAATATATCTTTATATCCTTTCCCCTTAGATGACTATGTTCACATTTCTAGCAAGCCCTGTGACCTCCATTGCACCACTGTGGATGGTCAGAGACAGTTAATGGTTCAGGCTCGGGATGGAACATCCTGCAAATACACTGATTTCCGAGGGGTTTGCGTGTCTGGAAAATGTGAGGTTGTTAAACATTATAGCAAAAATATTGTTAGTAGCATTCAGAAAATTCCAACGGGTGCGATATTTGCCTGACCCTCGATACTCTATTTGTGCATTTTTTAGCCGATTGGATGCGATGGCATTCTCTTTTCCACCCACACACTGGATAAATGTGGAGTTTGCCAAGGAGATGGGAGCAGCTGCACTCATGTGACCGGCAGTTATCGGAAAGGAAATTCTCATCTTGGTAAGGCTTTCGGGCGCCCTTTGCTTTATTTGAATCAGAGGGATATTTTTTTAAATGTATTTTTGGTAAACTACTTGCAGCTCTCACCAGCTGCCCTGCTTCAGTTTTTCCCACGTGTTCTGTGTGCGTTAATGCCACTTGTTAACTTGGGCGGGGAAAGTCTTTAAAGAAAACCAGTAACTTTGCATGGTGCTCGTCGAAAGCCTGAGGTCTCTGATGCTGAGTGGTGCAAAAGGGTTATGCAAGAGGCTGGCGTCTATTTTAGTTTTCTTTCTCATGACCCAGTGAGACTAGGAGTAAACCCTTTGTAATAACAGGAAGCCAGGGTATTTTGAAAGACCAGGATTCCCAAAATTAGTGTGATGTAAAACAACAGAAGCTACTTGTCCTAAATATAGCAATCTAACTCAAGACTAATGATTAGTGCTCTCTGAGGATCAATTTAAGGTGGAGCAAGCTGCGGGAGCTTCAGTGGCGTTAGGAGGACTTGTCCCATCGCTTACCTGGTGCTAAGCAAAGCGGGGACGGAGGGGAACCAAGCTGTAATCTCTCACTGGGGTTCCAGGAAAACTGGCTAGCATGAGGTGCAACACTGAACCACGGGATTGCTTCTCTAGCTAACAAAGCAGTCTTCAGATAGCTTTTCTTACACCAGTTTATATAAACTTGGTGTTTGTACATGTAAGGATTGTATCCTTGTTTTTCTACTGTAAACCAGGATGCATGGTTCGCACGTTTTTCTCGTAACCGTTAGGCTGTGAACAGGACCATATTGATACCAACATTAGGTTTTTTAGTCTATAACTCCTTAAAAATAATTTTGGATTGAGGCCAGTTTGCTTGATCTATTGCGGTATTGACTACGGAGTGTCTCGTTCAGATTATTTGTTACCAAGTTCCTTTCATTAATCTGTAGTTTCCCATAGGCTATTCTCTGGAAAAAAAAGGGATATCCAGATAGTAGAACGGAAAAAATCTGCAGATGTTCTGGGTGTGTATAACCTCTGGGTACTTCCCTAGAATGCATGCGTATCCTAGCTAATGCTTTTTCCAATGCGAAGATGCACGTAGTTTTATTGCAGCCATGAGCTAAACCCATAGTCAATGTAAATCACCACCGCGTTGTCTAAGCCAGTGTGTTTCTCCTCCCTGCATTCTGAGCACCTGGGCTTTTTATATATAAACAGTTTGATTGCTTTAATGCCAAAACTGTTGGTCAATATTATTGCTACTTCAGTGTTTTATGACAAATATGCTCGTGGCAGATCACAGATAGCCAAGTGACTTCACCTCTCTTGTGATCCCCTTGATGATCTCCTGCTTGGGGAATGTGCAATGGCCACATGACAACAGCACCAAGGAGACGTGCCCTGCATGTTGCTGAAGTGTTGGTGGCCACACCATCCACCTCGTGATGGAGATGGCAGAGCTGCTCAGGAGGAGTGTGGGAAAAATCTGGACTTGCCCCAGAGAAGCACATTTGTTACCACTGTGCTCTGCCTCAGAGGCTCGTGGCCATGTGCAGGAAGGCTTGAAAGAAAAAGGCTTGATTTAGTACAGTTGTACTGGGCTAGCTCTGGATGACCTGTCTTGGGCCACTGCTGGCTCAGGTGGCATCAGCTCCGTGCTCCCAAAGAGGCAACTCCTGCTGTTGGCCTTCTGACAGTCTGCAGAGCTGTGATTATCAAATGTTCATGCTGTGCTGGTGCCAAAAGGGTGAGAGGAGCCATGGACTCCTGTAAGCCACGTACCCAGGAGCTTGCAATGTAGAGGGCCGCATGGCCCAGAAACCCGGGCACATATTTGCATGATGTGTGTTGGAAATACATTACAATGCATTTGTCAACGATGAGAAACACTTGTTTTATTATTGTGATGCTCTATTTTTATCCCCTGACTGAACAAGAGGCAGTATTGCATACCTCTGCTCTTGCATGTGATGGCACTGGCTTTTTTCTCTCTTTGAAGCTGTGGCTGATGAAGCTGGGTACTACTTCTTCAACGGGAACTACAAAGTTGACAGTCCGAAGAACTTCAACATTGCAGGCACGGTGTTCAAGTACCGCAGGCCCATGGATGTTTATGAGACCGGCATAGAGTATATTGTTGCACAAGGACCAACAAATCAAGGGTTGAATATAATGGTGTGCTTTGACTTTTTCAAGTTTTCAAGGCTGGGGGTGATGGGGAAGGGAAGAATCTATGTTGGATTGAGGAAGGGGTGGCTGTGGGAGAAGCATCCTGCCATGGTTTCCCAGCTTTCCCAGGCAGCTTGAGGAGGGGAGTGGGAACAATGACCGTGCCCAGTTCCTTGCATGAACCTATTTTATTTGCATTGGTGCTCTTGGGTGCAGGCAGGGCTGTGAATAATGAACATGGGCTTGGTAACCCCCTCTCTCTGCAGGGGAAAGATGCCTCAGGCACTGCAGGCTAATTTCTCTTCTACTCCTTGGCATTTTTATCCAAGTTACCTGGCAGGAAAAGTAAAAATGAGGAAATTGGGCCAGACAGCTTGGAGAAGTACACAAAACTTGAACCCCAACTCTTTCTTGAAAGCAAACTGTCTAAAACCAGGCATATGAAGAAAAGCCATTTAATTTTTCTTCTGGGCAGCCAGCCAGAGCCCAACTCCTGCCATCTTCCGTGTAGCCCTGGGCCCCTCTGGAAGGGGAAGGGATGGCTGCTGGGGTGCTTATAAAGCATTGGACCAGTAAAAGGTGTTGTAGTGTATCGGCTGTGAGTCCCCAATGGGGATGTAATAGCTGAAGCGGGGTGTGTGTGCATGCTCCTCATTCATAAAAACACAAAAAATTGTTTTGCAAGTGATGGTCAGAAACTTCTGAAGTGGCTCTTCCAAGTCTCTGGTTGCTCAGCAGCAGAGGAGGGAGTGTGACCTGTGGCTCCCAGTCCCTGAGCTGGGGCTAGTCCCCAGGGCCATGCTGCCAAAGAACCCTTGGAAAATTGTGCTGGGCTCCAGTTGTAAGAAGTTGGCAATATGATGGAAAGCAGATTGGAAATAGCAAAGTAGATGCTTACCAACTGTCAAGTCCAAGATGAATCACAAGCTTTGTGTGCCATATACTCACTGAATCTGCTAATAATTTAATTTGTTTGCAGGTCTGGAATCAAAATGGCAAGAATCCATCCATCACATTTGAGTACACCCTCCTGCGGAAGCCACACTCAAAAAATATGCAGCCCATCTACTACACCTTTTCTGAGTCAGATAGCGAAGAAAGCAGAGAGTTTGATGGAGATGTGCCATTGGGTTTTATCCAGCACAATGCAACCTATTTTGGGAAAATCTCCAGGGAAAGGATAGACTTGGAGAACCAGGTGTTTGGAAGGCACGACACGGAGGAAGATTTAAACTTGAGCAAAGGTCAGGAAACCAATGAGGTCTATGAAAGAGCAGAAACAATTGACTGTGAGCCAAAACTGAAGGGCAAACAACCCCAAGGTAAGGAGGAGACTTGGGCCTCACTGTTCTGCTTCTCAGAGCTCTTGTTGAGAAACGCTCTGTTTCTACCTCTGGTGATTCTGCTGGTTTGTTTTTTGGAAACCCTGGAAAGTTCTTTAAAACGTCTCTGCTCATAAATCCTCTTTGCCCTTCAGGTTCTGGTTTCTGGTGGGTGGGGGGTGGCCATGGGTGAGGTCTCACTGCTGGTGCCTTGCTGTGCTTTGCCTCATGCCAAGGACAGGAGGGAGCCCTGGGTGCACAGAGGTCCCCGTCACAACCATCTTCCATCACCTCCCATAGCTGCCCAGCCCCCAGCAGGCTCCTTCCCACTCCATTCCCTTGGGCATCCCACCTCCAAACTGCCTTGAGTGCTTTCCCAGCATGGCTGCATGGGCTCTGGGGCCAGGAGGACATCTTCCTTTCTGATTTCTGCTATTGCTTGGGGCAGTGCTGGCAGGTGCTGAGGTCTCCTCTGGCCATGTGACAGCAGGATGAGACCCACAGGGCTGCACGCCCTTCCCAAAGGGGTACAACCCCATGAGATTCCCCCTCCTCAGCTACTGCCTCTAGCCTTCCGGGTGGCTGCTCAGGCTCCGGCGTGCCTCTGCTGCTCCGGGCTGCTTTCGCCTCCCAGCCTGAATGCATTTTGTGGTTGTCACTGTTGTTTCCCCCTGTTGGCTCCAATCTAGATTCAAACGTAACCAGGTCTACTTACCAGACAGACCATGGCGACGGAGACTTCGACCCCAGGTTCACCTCCAGGGAATTCCTTTCAGAGAACGCCATCACAGACAAGCTGCTGGACAAAGCCTCAGACTCCAAGGAGCTGGTGCTCAACATGACCATGAACAGCATCTTTGCCCAGGGAGACCCAGTCAACTCTGTGGGGTCACACATTGACAGCCTTTATGTTGACTATGAGGATACTGATGGCATCGTGACCTACACCATTAACAGCACTTACATGGAACTGAGCAATGGCAAAGCCATCAACACATCTGCGGAGACACCGTTTTCAAATGCCACTGTCACCATGACCAGCCCTCAAGGGAACAGAACCCACAAAGCAAGGTAGGAGACGTCTTTTAACTATAGTCAATCCTGTTTATTGCTATTTTTGACTCATAATAGCCCTGTTCTCGGTGCATGATTTCTATCTGTCTGCTTTGGAAGCCAGAAGGTAAGTGGGGGTAGGATGATGAAGGCTTTCTGCTGGGGGTTAATTTGGAAGGGCAGGCTAGAGGTTTGGGAGCAGAAAGTCAAGAGAGCATTTAAGCAAGAGGAAAACTCACTGCCCTCCTTAGTGGATGTGTCGGCAAGCCCATGCTGATGGCTGTCAGCTTGTGCATTGCTCTTTGCCTGTCATTGCTTGTTATCGGTCATGGCCATAAAGAAGCCTCTTCCTTTTTTCTTCTCTTGACATCCTGCTCTGATTCCCCAGGCCCCTTCCTCTGAGTTCTGATGCAGCAGAAGTTGGTCCTGGCCCCTTTTTACCCACCCTACTGACTGCCGCCCACGATCCTCCTCACTTGTGTTGGCAGGAGCATGCTTCCAGCAGCTCCCAGGCATGGCCCTGCCTGCTTAACCTGCTGCCGGGGAGGCAGAGCAGGACAACAGGAGCTCTTCCTGTAGGGCCTGCAGAAATAGCTGGGGTTTGCTGTCGTTGGGTGCAGAAGCAGGGCAGTTAGTCACTGCTTTAAGAGTATCAAAAGCTCTTCAGTGGCTGATATGAGGACTGTCACTTCAGCATTCCTTCAACGGCTGGTTTGGAGTAGTAGTGCTATAAAATGCAGTGGGAAGCTAGATTAAACCTTCTTTATCTTCAGCAGCAGAGTTCATCCAGGCAAGGATGGGCTGGGTGAAAAGGAGTTTCAGGATGATTCTTGTCCACAAGCCTACGTCTAGGGTATTTTGAGGTGCTCTGGGGCTCTCTGGGGAGCAGCCTTTGGGAGCTCATTCCCAGTGTGGGCACGTGGGGGTTGAGACAGGACCACCGCTTGCAGCCACAAACTAAAGCAATCTCTGGAGAGCTTGGGCTGAAATCGAGGCTTTGGGAGTCATCCAGGCCCCAGACCCACAGCCATGGATTTGGGTCCTGCTGTGCACCCCCATGGTTTGTTTGGGTCCCAAGCCCCCACAAGCCTCCCCTGGCTCTGCTGCTTTGACTCTTCTGTCTCCCAGCCCTCACCACCAGTAAAACGTGGGTTATGACGCTGAGCTTCAGAAGACATAAAGCACTGAGCAGATGCTCTCTGGTTATAGCTAGCTGTGTTTACCCAGAACTTATACTAGCTTACGCTAAAGCAACTTATGCTAAAGAAAATGTCCGTGCAGCCAAACGTATCAACAAACTTCTTAATGATAAGAACATTAAAACCTTGCCAAGGGCTTGAGTCTATCCTCTCTTCTCGTGGCTTGGCTGGGAAACTTTGCCTTCAGCTGCCAAAGCAAGCATTTCGTTAGCTCTGACAGGCGAGGGCAGGGCTGTCAGCTCCCTGCCTCGCTGTCCCGTGGGGGCGAGGAAGGGGGCACGGCCCCCCCCACCTGCCCTGGGTGGCCTTGGCTGGCACCCTGTACCCCCAACCTCCTGGGGATACAGGGACCTTCTCGTGCTTTAAACTTGAGAGCAGCTTGGCTGTGGCAGGAGGGTCACAAAAGACTGTCGGTGGCTCCGGTGCCGTTTTTCGTGGTGCTAAAAGCTCCTTGCACTGTCCCTGCTGCCCGTCCACCGAAGACACGGGGCAGGGATTTAAACCCTTCCGGGAGCGATGCCCAGAACTGCCATTTTTTCAGTTCTTCTCTTTAGTTTGTTCCACAGTGTTCCCTGCCCTCACCCCCCGAATAAAATAGGAACTTTTTTGGCCATCAACACTTAGGTCTGAGCAGTTTTGCACTAGCCAAAAGGCTGTATCCAGGCCCAGCTGGGCTGTAGCCTGGGCTGAGAGATGCTGAGCTCCTGGCTGGCTTCATCCCTCGCTGTGGGGCTGCGGTGGGAGGTCGAAAGGCCAGTGGAGACAGATGTGGGGCAGCTGGGGGGCAGGAAACATGCTGTTCAGAGGCATGTTGTTTTATTAAAAAAAAAAAAGAGGGGGGAAGAAAAAAAGGGTAACAAAACAACTTGTACCTCCCTTCAAGAGGCCAGACCGGGTGCCTGGAGGCATTGCTCTCCTCCCCGGCAGTCGAGAGTCCCATGGTGTCGCTGACAACCAGAGACTCTGCATGCGAGGGCACTTGTGGGGCGGGGAGAGACGGGCACGTCTGCGGGGCTGGGTGATCCTCGCTTCCAGGGACTGGGGCAGGAGGGAGCATGCTGGGACAGCCTGCTTGTGCCCAGGCCTTTCTCGTGTCCCCCGACTCTTTATTTATTACTTCAAGCCCCGTTGCAATTGTAACGGTAACCGCTCATCTGTACCTCCTGGGTGGGAGTGATGGCTGAGGAGCCCCAGCTCCCTGAGGCCAGCCTTGAAGCACCCAACACAGCAGGATAAACCCTGTACTGACCCTGGGGAGCGGTTCTGGGTTTGGTGTGTCACGGGCGAGGTGCTGGAGCACAAGATGTGTGAGGAGGATTGGGGACTGGGCTTGTTCCTTCAGGAGGAAGGGCGGTGGAGGGGACAGCCAGAAGCTGCACCGAGGAAAATGGTCATGGGGTACAAGGGAAAGCTCTTGCCCCGGGTGTGGGACAGGATGGAGGATCTCCCCCTTGGAGATGGGCAACACGGGACTGTGGGACCCAGTCTCTTACTGGGGTCAGCCTAGTTCCGGGCAGGAGCTTGAACTTGAGACTCCCACATCCTTCCCAAGCTCGGTCTGGGATGGATGGTGGCTTTTGGCTCATTTTCATTCCATGTAAATGGGGAAACAAGCCGGGGGGGATCATCTCTGCAGACTGTAACCAGCCAGTCTGTACACACGGGACAGCCTTGGTTACAGGTGGGGCATTTTCTTTCTTTCCAAATTGTTGCAGTTCTTAGTGTGGATGGAGTTATCAGGTATACGAGCACCTTGCACCAGCGTGGCATGTTATATTTCCTCTCTGGGAACGGGTCCCACTGAGATGGGGATGGGTGGGTGGCTCTTGTGCCAGGGCAGGGGTGCCGTGATGCTTCTCCTCTCCTGGACCAGTTAAAGCTGCCTTGGGGCATGCTGAGGGCAGATCCAGGCACCCTTGTCCTTCATCCCATGCCCATGCTGTGGTGTGCAGCCAGGGCTGATCCTGCAACAGGAGGCATGAGTTTTTCCCCTTTACTTAAAAATAAAAACTGAAATAAAACACAGAAATATGAGCTGGACATTGATCTGTGGTGTTCATGTGCACGTTAGCATTATTCTTCTGCTCCGAGGACTGTTTTGGGAAGACAGGCAGCCCAGACCTCAGCTGCGGGTGAGGGACTGATGCTAATTTCTGGTGCAGTCACTTGCTTGGAAAGCAGAAGCAAAGTGCAGGCAGGGAAGAAAATACTTGACTTCATAATTAAAGGGTGGAAAATAAAAGAGGAAAAACCCACCAGCTTGGTAGGACAACGTGCTGCTGTTTGCATTTAGAGGAGAACAAAATGACAGTTTTGTCTTTGCTTGAAATGGTAAGAGAGCTAAATGCTGCCCTATGACCAAATGTCTGATTTATCTGGAAAGAACTTGTCCCTGCGACCTCGTTGTGCATAGAAGCAGCTCTTTTATTTAGGCTCACGTACATTAAAGGGACACTGTTGAAAGACTTTTCTGTCTTCAGACGTGGTATAAAGCTTATTTTGAAGATTATTTTGTCCTTTCAAGGGAGAGCAGTCCCAGTCACAAGCAGGGTATAGACCGGAGGATCTAGGCAATACCCCGTTTTCCAGGCAAATTAAAGTACAAAAAGCAGATGTTGACTATGTTTTAATGGATCTTACTGAAAACTGTCATCTTGTGAGCCCTCTCCTGGCTGGGCGGCAGCGGGCAGCACGCCGAGGGCAGCCGCGGCTCAGCCGGCATCGGGGGCTGATGCGGGTCCCCAGGCAGAGCTGTTTTGGCAAGATGAAGCACTATTTATAGGGAGCCGAGGTTGTTATTTTTTTTCCGCAAAAAATAGTCGCATTCATTTGAGTTCCATTTCAAACGCAGGAAGCGACCGTTTGCCAAACTGACAGAGACAAAATCAACAGGGAAAATGAGATTGTTGTTTTTAATCCTTCTGGAGGTTCAGTGCTGGCGGTGGAAGGAGGGTGGGTCTGAAAGGAAATGGCTGGATTCTCAACAGTGTCCTTTTAAAGGTTGATTTGACAGACTGGACCTGAACTTTTTCTTACGAACAACTAAATAAGGCAATTTCAGAGCTTCTGCTGCCTAGAAATCATACAAGCTGCATATCTCGCCAGGCCAGAGACAACTGGATGTCAGGATACAACCTTGTACGCTATTTCAGTGTAGCTGTTTCAAGGGTTTGAACAAAGGTATGAGAACAGACTTGAAGCCTTTTGTTGTAAAGGTGCAGTATCCCTGATGTGTTATAACCTCGCAGCACGTAGGATGCACTGAACTGGGCAAAGCTGTTACTCTTGGTTTGACAAATGCTTTTTTTGTACACCAGGCTGACTCTGTTACTCCTTCCCCGATGGCTTTATGTGTTTGAGCACAGCGTGGATATGAGAGATGCAAATTACCTACCTAAAATAAAACAAAATAACCCAAACCAAGAGTGGCAAAAGCAGCGGGTAGGCAAATGGCATGCCTTGGTGTTCAAAAGCAAAGTGTGCTTTGAGAAGCAGGCTTATAAACTCCTGTGCCACATCTAGGCTTTCAGAAGGAGTGAGCTGCTGAGATTTGAGCAGCCGAAAGCTCTGCCGCGTTGAGCAGCACGAGTCGGCGTGCCTGGCCCTGGAGACGCAGGGGAGGAGATACTGCACCTTTAGTCACTGTATGCCGAGGGCCAGGTGTATTTGAGCAGAAAATGCAAACTTTGTTAAATTCTGAACTGTTTCTACTTGTGGGTATTTTTATCCCATTCTCTCTATTTCTAGACAGTGGAAGCTCTGCCTCTAACCAGGCTGGGGATTCTACTTGGGGCTCAGGACAGGTATGTTGTGAAACAAACCAAACCAATTAAAACAAACAAACAAACCCCAAAAAATCAGAAAAACCAAACCCAACCGCCAAACAAAGCAAATCCCCTCCCAAACCCGAACCCAACCGAACCGCAGCCTGCTGGCAGATGTGTGTGTCTGACGTGGCCTATCACCGCTCGCCTTGTAAATGCCTTTTTTTTGTTTTGTTTTGTGTTTTTTTTTGTTTTTGTTTGCTTATCGCTAGAAACAGATTGAAGTTGTTAAGAAAGGGCCAAGGTGTGAGTGCTGCTGACATGTACAGGTGGAAGCTTTCCTCCCATGAACCCTGCAGCTCTACATGTACCACAGGTAGTTATAAGAAGCAGCCAAATTCTGCACAACCGCTGAAATCACCTGGTGTGTGAGTCATTTTTATGTCTGTCAGGGATGGGAAGGACCTGGTGATGCGTAGGGGATCTTGCGATCTCTGGAGCTGGTTTAGCCCAACCTCAAATCTGCTCCGTCCGGGCGCAACGGCAGGGAGAAGAGCGGGGGGCCAAGAGCGTGCGAAGCCCCCCGACCTCGCAGGCGCCTCAGGGTCCAGGCTGTGGTACCCGGCATGTCCATCGTCCTGCAAATCACCCTCCCTTCGGGGAGCTCTGCACATCGCCTTCGCTTCCCAGCCCAGCGGGATCCCCAGACCTGTGCCGCGTCTCAGCATATTGCCTCCTTTTGGGTTTTTTACTTTTTCTTCCTCCCCTTTTTGACCGTTCAGAGGGGTTTGAAAAGCTTAGTGGCTTCCCCACAGAATGAAATTTTGAAGATGGTTCAGCTCTGGCAGGAAACAAAATAGCATTTGGCTTTTTGGTTTTTGTTTTGTCTCTCCCACTCCTCCTCCTACCCCTGAGCCTGATTTCGGCCGTGAGGGTGTAAATCTGGAACAGTGGCGTAGATGCCAGGGATATCAAAACCTGGCCTGTATTGGTTTTGCATAAATCCCCCTTTTTTTGTCCCCCCAAAAGCTTCAAGCCACCTCCTCTCTCTCGTCCTTTCCCCCTTGATTAGGGGCTCCTGGCCCCGGCGAGCGGGTCCTGCCCTCGCCTGCACCCTCCCCAGCAGCACCGCCCCTGCGCCATCGGGATCCTGCGGTGCTTCTGGAATTAGAAAGAAGGGAAAAAGGGGGAGAGAGGAGATTGCAGTCTAAGGGACATCTCTTAAAGGAACAAATGCAAGGATTTTATTTTTTTAAGCATGCCAGAGCATTTGTTCTAGTCCAGCAGCCACGTGCCCCGTGCCTGCCGGCAGCGGGAGCTTGGCGAGCCGCCCCTTTCCCTGGGATCTTGTCAGCCACATGTTCTGGGACATTTTTGATCCCTTTGATCCTCTCTGAACAAATTTCCCCCTTGACCAGGACAGGCTGCTCTGCCCTGCTTTGCAGCTAGCAGAGAGAGGTTTTACTTAAATTTCTCCTTTCTCATTGCCTTTTCTTAATGACACAGCGCAGAGAAGCAATACCATGTCAAGAGCTGTAGAGCTTTTTTTAGTTTCATGTAAACCATATGTTCCCGAGAGCTGCAATTCTTGTTACCTGTAGCCAGAGCAGCCTCCTGGTCCCCAGCCAGATCCCAGAAAGGACTTCACAACACTTGCTCTGGCACGGCAGGCTGCGGGGGAAACGGTCTCGGTCTGACGACACTGGCTGCCCGTGCTTTTGGCGAGGGAGCAGGAGGGCAGGTGCCTCCTTGCAAAGCCCCCGGGAGCCCTTCCGTGGCCCAGAGCGCTGGGTGCCCCTGGGGAGCACCCGGGCACAAGTGGGGTGTAATGCGTAGAGAGTGGGTGGGTGGAGCGGGTCGGAGACCGTTTTCTGTTGCCTCCACCCACGACCCAGGCAGGGTGGGAGCTGCCGAGAAGACCTGTTGCCCCGAGCATTTCCGATAAAAACTTGTTAGTCATATATTGATCTTGGTGGCAAGCCCTGGCAGGGGTGGCCGTGCCTGCCTATGGAGCCGGCCAAACTCAACCAGGCTGCCCGTGGTGGCTGGGTGGCTGTCGTGGTCCTCTCCTCCTGGCAGCATCCATCCCGTGGGCCAGAAAGTCCAGCTTGCTGCTTTCCCTCAGGAGGAAGTTTTGGAAAATGCAGCTCAAAAGAAAAAAAAAAAAAAAGAAAAAGGGGGGAAAAAAAAGAGTTTGGATGTCAAAATCACCAAGCGTCCTCTGTGTGTATGTATTCTCTTTGAAACCAGGAGTGATGTCCACATATGCTATGTGTGTTCGCTATGATGGGATCGAAGTGGATGATACGTACTGTGATGCCATGACCCGTCCCGAGCCCGTCCATGAGTTCTGTGCTGGGAGAGAGTGCCAGCCAAGGTACCGCCTCGACAGGGCGCTCCGGCGGGGCTCCGCGCTTTCTCTGCCGTGGATGTACTTGGGGGAGGGAGTTGGCGTGGATTTGGGGGGGAGGGCAGCAGGGATGGCCCCTAGCAGCCCCGTCCCTCCTGCCCCAGTTGTGTCTGCCCGAGCTGCACTGGGACTCGGCAAGATGTTCCTCCCCAGTGCTTTAGCTCGAGCTGCCAGGTTAAAACTTCCGTAAATCCTGGGAGAGTTTGCATCTGCGGCTCCCGTCGAGTCTGGCTTCTGACGACACGGGCAGCGTCCTGCCCTGGCCAGCGCGCGGAGGGCCACGCGCATGAAGTGGGTGGAGGGGCCAGGCTTGCGAACTGTGCCGTGGATCTGGCTTTCTGGTCCCTTCAGCATCCTAAACTGATCCTAAAAGCATCACTGAGGTTTGCTTGTATCGGCGCAAGAGCTGGCGCAGAGGGGAACCCGTGCTGGCAGTCCTTCAGGTTTCCCTTCTGATGCGGCTCTTTATCCAAAAAGCGTGACGGCAGTCGGGAGCCGGGCTGCACGGCTCGGGGCACCTCCGTGTTTGTAACGCCGGGCGTGCTTGTTGGAGGGTTTGCAAGTGACAGCAGGTTTGGGCGGGACAGACCGGTGTCTGTCGAAGCGAGGACGCGGTAACGCCGTCTGGTGCAAGCCCTGGAAAGGCGTCACTTGTGAACGTGCAAAGCAAGACCGGAGTGATGCCGGGAGCAGGTACGGCACCCGGTCCCTAGAGAGTGCTTGCTCTCGCCTCGGGTGATTGTGAAGGAGGACGGGGAGGAAAGCGCGTGCCCTTTGCCGTGTGAGATCTCCTTGAGCCTTGCACGCTAAGGCTGAAAGCCAGGGCAGGCTGCAGTTCAGGCAAAAAAAGGTGTGGGGAGGTGGATGGTGCTACTGCTGGGAGCATACCTGCACTGTAAACCCCGTGAGGACTTTAATCTCTATTTGCATTAACTTTGTAATTTTTTAGCACAAGGCTTTTTTCACGCTTAGATTACCCCGCTGGTGTTTTATAAAGCCACCCCTCCCTGTAGCTGCGCTGTGCCAGCTCCGTGGGCTTGCACTGTGAGAGGGAAGAGCTGCTCTGTGATTTACTGGTGATTGCAGTTTGGCGCTGGGTAAACCAGGGAGCTGCTGGGAGCTCCAGCGGCGCAGCCGGGCACGTTTGCTAGCACTTGGGCAGGCGGGATGCTGCTTGGGCTGGCAATGCTTTTCCAAAAGGAAGCACCGAGAGAATTGATGATCTTGAAGGTCCTTTCCAACCTAGTGTAATTTTGCCTGATCTGCATGGGAAAGACCTTGGTCTCGTCTCCCTTCTGAATTTAGGTGGCACCTTTAAACGTGTGACATCTCTCTGCGGCTGCTTGTTGTGCCTGGAGCCCCACGCGAGGCCGGCGTACAGCCCAGGGATGTGGCTCTCCCGCTCGGAGAGTGGCAGCAGCGGGTGGCGCGGGGGCTGCACGGGGCAGCCCCGGGTGCAGAGGAGCTGTGAACTCTGATCCACTTACATTTTTACATTTTTTAAATTATTCTTTAATTCAGAATTTCTATGATGTTACTGTACTGTGAAGATCTTGACTTTTTATGTCTTTTCCCTTGGTTTACAAGCTGCTCCCCTCTTGTAACATCAGGACAGCAGTGGCAGGGGACAGTAAGGGGCAGACCCCGGCTCTTCCAGCCCATCGCGTGACGTTAGCAGAGTTAGACCGCCAGCGGTACATGGATGTCTGTCCCAGCAGGGCTCAGACAGCTTTGTGTGACGTTTTTGCTGGGATTTGCGGGGTGATGGATGGTTGTGTCCTCTCCGTACTTTAGCTGATCAGGCAAAAAAAAGAGAGCTCAAACTTGGCCAAAAAGCATGGCAGAGAAATGTGCGGGCACACGTGGGGTTGCAGCCGGGGAGCGCGCGGACAAACGCTCGGCCGCGAGCACACCGGTCCTCGCCGGCCGCTCCCTCCTCTCGGCAGTCTGGTTTCAGCATCCACGGCTGCGGGCACGAGCTCAGGTCTGCTGAGTGGAACCACCATACGGTAACACGTCCCCTCCCACGGGAAAACTTCTCGCACCTTGGCAGCGTGACGATAGCTCGTTCCTATTGCAGCCACCGCCGGCAGAGAGCAGGCAGGGTTTTCCCATGGGATACTCCAGCCCCGTCCAGCCGTGCCCAGCGCGACGGCCTCCCTTGCTTCCGTAGGTGGGAGACGAGCAGCTGGAGCGAGTGCTCCCGCACCTGCGGGGAGGGCTACCAGTTCCGCATCGTCCGCTGCTGGAAGATGATCTCTCCGGGATTCGACAGCTCCGTCTACAGCGACCTCTGCGAGTCCGCGGACATCACCCGGCCGGACGAGCGCAAGGTCTGCAAGAACCCAGCCTGCGGGCCCCAGTGGGAGATGTCGGAGTGGTCCGAGGTGAGTTCCTGGGGACCTGCTGGCGCACGCGCCTGCGCTTCTCCCTTCCTTTTCTGACTGGAACTCATCCATGGCCACAGAAACTCTGCCCTTCAGAACACTGGCTGCAGTCGTTGCATGTGGAGCAAGATGCAGCAGTAATTTTTTTTTTTCCCCCCTAAAATGAAGCCTTGGGTCCTCTCCAGGATGGGGAGGCCACCGCCATCGGTCACTCAGTCTTTGACTGCACATAAGGGACTGGCATTGCCCACTGAGATAGGGCAGGCGTCCACGGCCCAGATCCTCCCACCACCGCTTGCGTGGCAGCCTCTTCAGCCCGCAAGGTGCTAGGGAGGAGATCCCACCTCACATGTGACTTACGTTCCCATAAATTTCCCTTCCTCACCTCCAATTTCACTGCACCACCTGGAGAACTAAACCTTTTCCTAGCTGTGCCTTGAGCAGATCCCTAAAGCAGCTGGAAGATGGTTTGGGGCCGTGCAGTGCTGCTCTTGCTGTAGCTTGTTGCTTTGCTTGGGAAAACACGTGAAAGGGATTGTGCCCCTGAATTCGCCTCCAGGCACGGCCAGCGCTCCAGCACATCGCTGGCAAACGTAAACCCATGGCAATGACCAAACCAGCGCCGCTTCCTCGGGGAGCCGGGGCCGGTCTCCGAGCTCGGAAAGGACTGGGGACTCACTCTCCTGGCCGCCGCCAGCGTTGCGCTGGATTGACGGTGTGGCTGCGGGGGGGGACCCCGCATGGCTCGCAGCGAACGAGTAGAACACGAGGGGTGTGACTGTGCCCCCCTGCGCTGCTAGGAAGCAGCCCTGCCTCTTCGATGTCTTCTGGAGGCGGGCATGCGTGGCAAGAGCGAGATTTCGGGTCTGCGTGCGTCTGAGCTCGCCCGGGTGCCGCCGCCAGCCCCCCGCCGTGGTGACGGCTGCGCGTGGAACGGGGCATTTGGGCCCTGGGGACCGCGCGCCCGTCGCCCTCCTGACAAGCAAATCAAGCCCAGACCCCTTCTACGCAGGAGCAGACTGAGCTCTGAGCCAAGCTGCCTGTGGGTGTGAACTTGCCCCACGGTTTACACTATGGACTCTTCCTCCTGGGAGGCTCCCAAAACACTTCTTGATCATAATTTAAATTCTCTCCTTTCCTCTGCAAGCCGGGGTGCATTGTTTCCCTCGAGCCGATGTAGGCGCTGGTGTGTTCCCGGCGTTGCAGGATGTTTTGACTTTCCCAGCTGGGTAGAGAGGAGCTCCCTGTGCTCATGCTGGCGCGTTATTTTGACTGGCGTAGCGAACCAGAGCGGCTTATTTTACAGAAATCCGTGTTCTTCTCCAGCATGTGTCAGGGACAGATTGCTAGAGACAGTCCTGGAGTAGTTCGTTCTTAGCCAGCAGCAAAGCTAATCTCATTTGGATCCCATCTGAAGTAGGGTGCCAAGTTGGCTGGGGGAATAGGCATTAAAAAAAAAGCACATTTCGGGGATCTGAGGATTAACGTATCAGCGCAGTGTGTCTGCGCGCTGTGCTGTTGACACTTTTCCCTGCTTTATGTTATACATGGAGCAAACGTGCGTATGTGAGACTGTAGTAACTCAAATCCGGTTCTAAATAATGTCACTGGGCTGTGCGGTGCCAAATTTATCCACAGCATAAAAACCTTGTGCGGTTTGGGGAAAACATTCTCCGAAGAGGTGGAAAGGAGCTGGCTGCTCCTGGGAAGGAGGCGAGGGACATCTCACCCTGCCTCGAAGTGACAGCTAAAACTTCTCAGCTCTGATCAGGCATTTTTGGTGCCTTGTGTTTTCACTCTCTGGTGTCACCCGGCGGAGAGCTTGCACAGCACCCGGGCAGGATGCGGCCCTCCTGCACCTTAACCTGACTGCTGAAGCTGCTGAGGGGTTTTGGGGGAGAGGGGTGGTTTTGCTACGGGTTGTTTTACAGACCGTCACCGATGCATTGTCGGGGTGTGTTGTCAGAGTTTCGTGTTTTAAAAAAAACCAATCAAACTAACTTAGCAGAAAACAGCTCCCAGTCCCCATTGCAGCGGGAGCCCCTGCTGATGCCGTCCCCTCGTCCCCTCCCGGCAGTGCTCAGCCCGGTGCGGAGAGCGGAGCGTGGTGACACGGGACATCCGCTGCTCGGAGGACGAGAAGCTGTGCGACGCCAGCGCCCGGCCGCTGGCCGAGAAGAACTGCACGGGGCCGCCCTGCGACCGGCAGTGGACCGTCTCCGACTGGGGACCGGTGAGACGCTGGGGTG